TCTTAGAATTTTTTCTTTGACCAGAATCGCTATTAACGTTTTGTAAAGTTGTTTATCGCCGTGTACATATTTTGCCATTTCCGTTTACACTAGACATTTATTGACTTTGCACGCATTATTTTGACTACTTTTGGTGCAGACTGTGGTAGGTTGTATCATCCAGCTGATGTTGTGTACAGTGTTCATTGCCTGGTCCACCTACACGTAGATGTTGCACGATTTGGAGTGCTAGATAACATTTCGGCATTTAGTTTTGAGTCTTTTTTGCAAAACGTCCACAGTCACATAAAAGGGTCATGCGATCGTAGCTGCACCGGTGTCTAGACGCATTAATGAAAGACGCCTGGACTGAGTTGTCCACAGGTGCCAAGCTGTTGGACGACGATGAGGGAGTGCCACGGTGTTTGCAGATGCCCCGCAGTTCCAAAGCCATTTTTCATAATGGGTATATGTTGTCTACCGAAGCATCCCACAATGAGTGCCTGGTGAAGATGCGAATCGACGCGAAGGACAGACCACCTCTTTCGGCCTTTGTCCTTTGCAAAGAGAAAGAGTTCTGGCATGGCCTTAAGTTGAAGGGGCAGGGCATCCTGTCTTTGTCTGCGGCAACAATCCAATTTGCAATGTGAAACCTAAGATAAGGGAATTCGGGGCTTGTCTTGAATGCCGGATAATTCTCCATTAGGTGATCGGCGCATTGAACGATCGTCAGGTGCCACTGGACCTCCTTCAACATCTCCGGGGGCGCATTGAACGATCGTCAGGTGCCACTGGACCTCCTTCAACATCTCCGGGGCGTGTACTTTCAGCTTCTCACCACCAGCTCCCGCCCAGCGTGCAATGGTCTCAACAACTGCCTCCTGAGAGGGGATGTTGGAGGATAGGCCTCCTGAGTAATATAAGTGTAGATAAGATAGGTTCTATGGTAGGAGATATTTAATTGAGTACATTTTCAGCGCTGATTCTTGTGATTGTCGTCAGACGCAGACGATCTCCGTCTTGTCCCATGAAATATGGATACATATGTACATATAGAGCTTCTCGTAGGTGGTTAAAGTCACTCGCGCAGTTGGCCGACCAGGTGTGCTCCCTGTCATTCTGGGTAATTTTGTGAAGAGGACTAGCTTGCCAATAGAAATAGTGCTGATTTTGCTTCGAAGGAAAAATCTGTAGGTGGAGTTAGAGGAGGAAGTTATTGCGGCTAGTGCACGTTGGGTGGATGCTACTGGCGAGGCTGATAATGAGAAGCTGAAAGTACACGGTCCGGTGGTGTTAAGGGAGTGTAGTAACGCCTGACGAGGATCTAACAGCGCATCTCCCTAATGGAGAATTATCCAACATTTTCGAAAAGGTCTGAATGCCCTTGACTTATGTTTTAGATTGTGAATTGGATTGGTGCTGCAGACAATGACTAGCCGCCGTGTCCCTTCAACGTACGGCTACGCCGGACATTCTTCGTCTTTGAAAAGGACGAGGACCGGAAATGGTGGTTTGTCCTCCGGCTCGGATAGGGGAGGAATGATGGGCCTGTTAGGGTTGTTGATTGTGCACTCGTGCGCTGGAGAATGTCTGGTTATGGAAGGTGAGACCGTGGCTGTCTGAGGTAACTAAGAAGTAGTTTGTTACATTGGATCCTTCGATGGCGATGTGCAGGAGAATGCTGTCGGAATCATGGACTGCGGTAGGGTTTGCGGCGCCGATCTCAGCGGGCGCTGATGATTGTTTTACGAGTTTTAGGAAATGCAGGGAGATCCCAGTGACGGTAACGAGGGATACGCTGACACCGTTGTCTACTAGAGTCTGTATGGGATGTAGGTATGATAAATGCCTGAACATCTGTAAGTTATTTATGTTATTTATTTTAGGTGGGCCGTGGGTAACAATCGGGAGACGGCATCCAAATATTTGTTGGTTAGAAATAATACATTGCCGTGTCCGCAATGGCATGTCCAGGGGCCGAAGCCCTTACGGTATGAGCAGCCTGCGTTTTGGCGTAAGAGACGTACGGATAAAGGTTGCAGTTTACGGCGGGCAGGGGGCGTAACGGGAACTGGGATTGGTGGAGGGGCTTTGTGGCTCAGTGTCTTTCGGTGCTTTCATGATGCTCCGTTTTTAGATCATCGAGTCTTTTGTTTACCAAAGAACAGCTAACTTTTTGAATATTTGCCAAGTATTCTGAGAAGTTCAAACCCCAGGAGATTCGCCAACTGGGCTGTATTTAGCAATTCACCTCGGACATCCATCACATTGGCGGTTTACAAAATGATTGGACTGATGTACTGTCCGAGCATTCAATCGCCCATTTCCGGCCTTCTCGCGGGATCGACCTCACTGACTTGGCTTCTGAACAACGCCGTGTTTGTTCTACCTGTGACGGTGATATTTCCTCGGCATCATTCTCTGCGGCGTCCCCATCGCTATCCCTTAGACGCGAGGTCTTCTGGTCCATGCTCAGTCTTTCTCATTCTGGGAGTCGAGCAATCGATAAGCTGGTCTGCGCTCGTGAAGATATGATAAGGTGAGCTGAGACGGGCGCTATCTGCGACATCCTGTTTGTTATTGCTATATTTCCGTTGTGGTTTGCTGTTGGCTATCTTTTCAGTAGCAAGGTTTCATCCTTTTTATTTTTTCTGCATTCACATCGGTCGATTCCGATTGTCCTTTGTTCTTGCATGCACGCTTCTGAACAGACCACCACATGTTCGCGTCATTCGCGAGACTGCTGGTAAAGTCACTTCGAGTAACCTTGTTAGCCTCAGCGAGGACATATTGGGGTTATTCAACCTGTCAACTGACATTGCCCTCGACCTTGGTTGCAAGGCTGCAAACGCATTTTGAATATGGAACTCCCGTCTGTGATACACGCATTTACTATTTGAATAGGATATAAGTCTAAGAAGCGGACGAAGTCAGCCTCAACCTTTTACCCACCATTTTAAATTAGCCAGAGCCACAAATTCCATAATCCACGCACTCAAGCGGCATTTACAGATTTACGCGCAGACCATTTTTCTGTAGTCATCGATGCAATGGTAATGCTACATCCATGTATGCAGACTTCGATTGAAGCAAGATCGTAACCTACTCGCAGGGATCCAGAGGCCAATTATCAGATTAATCAGAGAATAAAGATCATTGTCATATGCTGCCCACCAGATTATCCTAAATCTGTTTACTCTAAGACGTGAGAAATTACGTGGGGACTCAATCCCAAGCTTTAAGATCATACGTATGTTTGATTGCGCCCTTCTGTGCGATGAATTTTTCGGCTTGTCAATAGAACTAAGGCGTTAGGAATGGCGCGTACGGAGTTATGTAGACTGCTTCGGGGTGACGATGGGATACACGGTCGCACTTGGTCTTAACCCCCCTTTGCATTACTACTGATATCATTTTCGGGAGGCGTTGGAGCTGGCGTGAAAATTTTCGTTGTGGTAATGGGAAGCTGCACTTTCGGATTAGTGTTCCAGGAAAAGGCTTCAGGGTTAAGCTTAGGGATGGATGGGGTCCCGTGTTTCTTGTCAGGGTTAGACTTAGCGTTAGGGTTAGAGGTTTGAATTAGAGTTAGGCCCAGTGTTTTTTTGTCACTGTTAGGAGTAAACGTTTCGGGTGAGGAATTATGTTCATAGTTAAGGTTAGTGTGCCGGTATTATTTGCTTTTCTTCTTGTCTTATTGCACTTGTCGTGCCTTTTGAATTTTTGCTACATCATTCTTTTCAGGAAATTTACCGTTTGAGCTCTTTGTATTTCAACATTCAGGGCTTTCTCTTCGGTGCTAAAATTGCCAGGACTGAATGATGCGGCTCATCGACACCCTCCCTCAACTTCCGCCAATGTACATCCGGGCGTGCAAAATGTTATTTTTGCCAAATTCCTAGGGAATGCGACGCTATCTCGTCGAGGCGGCGAGGTGCATGCCTGAGACTCTACGATGGTCTCCGCAACTCCTGATCACAACAGACTGCAGACAATGTCCGCTCTCCAGGTGTCGTTTTAAAGTTGCGGAAAGCAGCACAAGTCTCTACCCCCGACTCAAAATGCCCGTACTGGACTTCCCTCTGATGTGGTTTCCATCGTGTTCAAGATGCCGCAACACCTACTAAACATGAATGCAGCCGTTTAGGGGGTTTTTTGGTGGCACGGGGCGGCGCAGTTGTGGGCATGCGAAGTCACTTGAATGAGCACTTGGTCTCTGACGGTGCACATGTCGAACGTATACTGGTGGTTTCACTTGAGTCTCTTATGGCGAACCTGTATGGTGACCCCTTGGGGGAGAGGGGAAACTTGGGAACCTGGGTTTACGCCCGTGAATCCGTCTATACCAGCAACGTTTCGTTGTTCTCCCGTTTCCTGCCCCGCACTCCACCTTGGTGGAGTGTGCCTCCAAGCCCCTCACTTTTTGAGGCAGCGGGTACCAGGACCCATCGGAGAGATGTTGAAGAAAATGTGGCCCGCCTCTGAGTAGCTCATTTGGCGTCAGTTCGCTCCATGCGGCTTTTTCGTGTCCGCCAGGATCCTCTAAACGGCAGCATTCATGTACTTTCTTTGGCATAAAGCAGACAATATACCCTGTTAATTGCACAACACGTTTATGGCTGACGACTCCTTGTGTACCTCTTCCATCTACTCGTGTTTTTGATTTTTTGTTCTAAAAGACGAACAGTAAAGTTGTGTTCTTCAACAAATCTTCGTTTTTGTTGTTGTTCGTAAGGTGTTTTCACCGACAGTCGGAGTCTGGGATAAATTATTGCCCATGGCCCAATTACTGTTATTCAGAAGAGACAGTGGCGAGTGAACGTTCCTTTCGGTAAATTCTCATCAGGCCAATACAGTTACATAGGGCGGGGTACAATGAGTGAAACAAAAATCGACAAAAGTTAGGTTTCAAATAACAGGCTGGGCAAGAGCGCAAGAACGCAGAAAGTTGTATGTGGTTAGTCAACCTTTGACCACGGTAAGCATGGAGCCTGAACAAGGTTCTTTTGGGCACATATGGTCGGTTTTCCTAACCTGATGGCGGCCGCTTCCGCTGTCGCTAACAGGCGCTTGCCCAGTAGCTTAGGGTAGCTCGAGGGGACCTTATAAATCACACGAAATGCTTCAGTGGGGTCCAAACGATGCCCTGAGTCCACTGCATGCGCAAGGATGGCGCTGTCTATTCTCCTAGTTTCACCCTTTGCCAGCCATGCGGGAAGGTGCTCTCGTATTCTTTTGGAAAGGCGCCGACTCGTACGACCAATACAACCTGCTCCACAGGAGCAAGTGAATGAGTAGATGCACATTGAGGCGGTCTGAGGTGGCAGCCTATCCTTGCCTTCTCCGCGTATAATAGGGTTAGTAGAGAATGATATGCGAACCCTTGCTGCTGGGGAGGTTTCGAGAGAGCTTGGTCAAGGCGTCTCCTTAGGAGTTCACCTGCAGCGTCTCCTTGGAAGGGGACTTTGAGGAACAACGTTTTCTTTTCGGCGGTTAGTGTAGTGGGTTTTGCGGGTCGTTCGGCAAGGTTCTTTGCAATGAACCTGTCAGGGTACCCATTTTCGCGAGGCAAGTCCTGGATTTTTCTAAGTTCCTCCTCGATACGATCTGTTGAACAAATTTTTCTAGCCCTTTGTGCCAAACACCTGACTAGATTCCATTTTTGTTGGAGAGGTACGTAACTAGCGAAGTTCGTGCATTGTCCAGACCAGGTTTTCTTCCGATAGACGCTCCTTCGGATGCTACCGTTGATCTCTGTGAGTAGCGGTTTAGCTGACCATCACTTTGCCTTTATCTCTGTTTTAGTAATGACGCAGTCAGTATATAGGTTATTCGTTCACCTGGCTTTCGCTGCCATAGTACTGCTCACTGAATGCACGAGGGAATCTTATCTCATATGGTGTCTATGCTAACCAGATTGGAGTGACTGGGCTGCTTTTTTTCTTCGTATAACCCACGCCTCGCGTTACTCCTATTCGGCTTTTGTACGCCTTGATTAACTTGTTTGCAAAGATTGTTTACGTCTCTAATAAGTTCTCAGTTGAATTAGGGCAAAGATGCTGTGTATGTGGTAGGTTAGAGCGGAAATTGCGTGCCTCGGATCGACCCTGTTCGGCCCGTGTGTTTAATGAACCGTCTTCTCCGACACTGGCCGGCTGGCTGCTTTTTGGGAGACTGCGGTTTTACGTTCTGCGTCAGGTCTTTTTCGCTCAAGCGAACCCTAGATCGCTGGTGAAATGAGGGGGTCCTTGCAATTGACGAATAAATTTTCCGGGACCTTTCTTGGATGAACAGGTCGGATGTATCCTAGAATCTAAAAATTGTACCGTGAAAACTCGGTAGCATTTTTCTTGTCCGCCGACCAATGTCCCTTTCTCGTACAACACTTCCTTAATGATAATGCTAATAATAATACCCACAAATTCCAGAGTGGGTGTTGTAAAAAATTAGTGACCTACGAGCAAATCAGTAAAAATCCCCGAAAAATTGAAGAGAGGATTCAGGGAACTCCCAATTTCGAAAAAAAGAATATTTAGAGGGAAAACTACTTCGATAATGGGTTTGGAGGAGCACGGTAGTTCCCTCCTGCTGGTAGGATTTATCCATTGATAGATGTTTTGGCAGATTTTGAATAATTCATATTGACCCAGTCGGTGGGAATCAAACCCACGCGGTAAATGGGAAGGCTTTAGTACAGCCAGCGCTCTAACATCTATGAATTACGCGAGCCAGGTAGTTATCTGGTGGACTCTAGGCGAATTAAGAAATCCTGCTTGGACAGTCAACTTACTGTATCATATTTGGTGGGTCCCAGACGTAGCAGTAGGTTGGGCGGGTAACTTGACCCAAATGCGACTAAACTCGTGTCATCCGGCGGAGCCTTATAGCTCAGATGGTTAGAGCGTTGGCTGTAATAAAGTCTTCACTTTCTGTTGCGCGTTCGAATCCCCCACCGAGGCACCGACTTTGTCCCGATTGGGTCAAAGTAAATTATTTGAATTCTGTCAAAACACCTCTGAATTAGGGTTATTGTTGGAGTTAGGCCAGGGGAATATTTTGCCCTTTCCGGAATTACGCGAAGGTTCACCCATATAACTCGAGCGGGGCGTACCTATTCCCATGTCCTGCATGGAGCACGCATATCTGATGCTGTCTGCAACCGCGTATTCGGAGATGGCCTTTACGCATAAAACATCCAAGAGCCCGGATATCTGCTTTTATTAGCAATATATATGCGTACCGTAGAAAGGATGTGCACCGATCAGCTAATAAGCTAGAGATGACCATTCCAGTCTCCCCTGTTTTTGTCAGCACATCTTCCTAGATGGACGTCTTAAAACGAGTGCACTGACTGAACTCACATTAGTTCATTGGGAAGTTGCGCGAGTGCGCCTTTGATAGTCAGAGAACTGGATCAGGTATTTACTTCCAAAAGGCATCCTAAAGCCATCCTTCCGGATTTACGATTTAAGATGCATAAAGAATAACACAACCAATCGATCTTCCTTAATGTCCTCGTCTGCCTCAAAGACTGTGGCACTTTAAAAATTGAAGTTTTCAAGAAAGCGACAAATACGACGCCAACACTGAACTTCAACAGCAACCATCCAATCAGCCGCAAATCCTGCTGCTTAGGGGACAGTAAATCGATATTTTGCGGCCCAGTTCGGTAAGTCGGAAGACAAGTTTGCCCGAATCACCATGTTTTCGACGGGTGTTCAAAGCCAGAGACTACCTGCGCATCTCCCTCAATCAATGCACACTCAAAAAAGACGAAAGACCTAACTGCAGGGACACAAAATTTTGGCGAACGCGTCCGTACGTCAAGAACGTTTCGGAAACCGTCGGCCACCTTCTGGCACCCCATGAAGTTGGAGTTGTACGCAGACCGGGCATAACCATCAGGCCTCAGATGATGAGACCGAAAACCCACTGTCACAACAAGAAACGTCTGGAGTCATTTATGGGATCTGATGCAGTTGCTGACGCAGCAACTACGTCGGAGGAACCTGAACACAGCTCCGAACGCGAATTGCCGGACATATGATAGCAGTGAGGAGGAATGACCCTAGCGCTCAAGGTGCGGCTCATCCGAGGAGATCCGGACACACATTCAAATTCGACGTGGCCGAAACTCTTGTTAGAGGTGACATTTGTGTGAGTCGTTAGCTGTTTGAGTCACGGCTCACCGGGTCCCAGTCTATTAACAAGTAAGATGACCTCCTCCTTCCATACGAGATGCTGAGGCTTAGTGCGGACAGAGTACTTAACCACGCCGAGAGCGCATAGGCGAACACTGTTCACAAAATCCGTGTTTGTCTGGAAGATAATCGAGTAGTCATCACGCCAATATGCAACGCAGGTGATGGAAATGCCACGACTAACTACCCGAGTACCGGCCACCAGGCAATTACTGCACTAAGGACAACCATCCTCCATGTAGGGTAGTTTCGAATTTTCACAGGTATGCGGTAGCATGGTGACTTCATCCTATGAGTAACGTAAACCCTTGTGCGTGGGGCATGCATATCTGATGCAGTCTGCGATGATGTGTTAAAGTCTACGTCCAAAACTTCAGAAGAATAAAGCTCTTCTTTCAGCGGTCGAGTCTTATTCTTCTAGGCTGCATCCTTGGACTCGGATTTTGGCCAGTATCGACATTTTCAACGTCGGTTTCTCAGGCCGTCGTCAAATGTACTGTAAATGCGCCAATCTGTCAGCCTTTTGAACATGCCCTGAAAAGTCAATACTGGCCTAACGTTCGTGCCAATCAACGGTCTCAGTCATTTCGTTTTGATTGACGGTCGTCTCTTTAAACTTCCCACTGTGATTTTTGTACACAGGGGTAACAGAGGTGTATAGTTTCAAGAAATTCTCAAATGTTCCCGGATATGGAAAGGAAAGGACTGTGAGTGTCAGATTTGGTGGATTCCAGGCGTTGCAGTG